ACTGTTTTCCTTTATATTTCAGAAGAAATGCATTTTCAGAATAGTCTAAAATTTAGGCGTACAAAATGGTCCTTCTACTAGTTTATAGAGTATATGGCCAGTTTTGAACATTGTCGGAAAGACTGACTCGCTGACAAAATTTCAATACAAGGAAGACAACCGTATGTTCCTATTCATCTGTAACACTAAGAATTGAGCCGTCTCATGCCTGAATCACGGTCAAATCAATTCCTTATATTCCACAGTTTTCAAGTAATCTGTCGGAACAATTTAGGAAATGTACTCACAGCATATCAGTCCTGGATCGTTTCCTCTGCGATGTCCATTGCTTCTAGATTTCAGTTCACAAATATTAACACTTGACTCTTATAAAAAGCGCGAAACTGAAGATTATCTTCTGAAATGTGTCGCCGTGTAGTCCAGTCAACCTTTTCGACGTTTCGGATTAACTTAGATTACCACCAACTTCAACCATAATATGGATATAATCATTTCCTCCGAAACTTTGATGACGATCAGCTGAACAACACTCTTCCTCCCTGAAGACTGAGATAGCAGGTTCCTCCGAAACAATTATACTTGTCTATTATACTACATGGTTTCACATCCCAGACGACAACAAACTTCATAGGCACCTCCATGAGAATCTCACGTCCGTCAGAATTTACCGTAATCCACATTCAGCTACACCTGCCGGTCAGTGGATGAACCACTCGTCATTTTATAACCACATTTACGTGACATTGGGTCTCTAATGAAATATACTCTGTTGTTTAATTAGCCATTCCTCCGTAGGTTTTAAAGTACACATTAGAAGGTAGCATTAAACTGTCCATTCTATTGTCTTCTGGATGAGGAAGAAAGCATCATTGAGGTTTAGTTTTCCTCTCTCAGCTCAATCACAGCATCCATATAATTTACCTTCTCTGCTGTCAGTTTTCCTCAGTGCAGAAACATGGTTCCTTTTGTACCAACTAGCAACAGAATCGTAATTTCTACGAGCAAGGAGGAAGGAAGAGTTTCCAGCCACTTCACACTGGTATGTTTGCTTCACCCCACACTCCAGAACAGAGTTTTTTACACTAGCTTTCCCTTCTGTAGGGACCGTCTATGTGGTCTAGTGGTCAGAGTTCCTGGCTACAGATCCAGTGGTCCCGGGTTCGATTCAAGGCGCTACCACATTTTCTGACAAGTAATGAGTCTGGAACGGGCTCCACTCAGCCTCGCGAGGATAAATGAGGAGCTGTTTCAAGGAAATAACGGCTGCGGTCTAAAAAACCGAGATTAACGGCAGTGGGGATCCGTTGCGCTTGTCAAGTGAAAGCCTCTATCCGCAAAAGTTGGCACTAACTTCGCCGACAAGCGGCGGTCGCTCGGTCGGTATAGTTCGTTTGCGAACTACAGGCCACGGAGATTTTTTTTCCTCTTTTACAGATGGAACTCACCCTTATGAATTGGTGCGTTCCAAGATAAGTTCGTTAAGCGAGTTGCAATGCGGATCGCTGTTTCCTGTAGGTGCAATGTTATAATTTGGGGTTACATGCCAGAAGAACAGGAAAAAAAAACAATTTTATGGTTTCCAACGAGCATCGGAAACATATTAGAGTGTGACGTAGGAATTGCAGATCTTGTTATGTTATAAAAATATCAGTAGGAATTGTTAAAGGAATAGTAATATTTTAGACTAGAGGAACAACAGAGCACGGCATAAGGCGGACTGGGCGACGCTGTGTTCAACATTACAATTTTCGTGGGGGCATATTCTCTTTTGTTCAAAGGGAATTTCGAATTATCATGCTTGGGCGACAAACTGCATCCTGAAACTTCATATGAAAGAAATTTTATTATAAGAATCTTCGTAAAGCGAAGACTATCTGCTACATTCGACTACTGCTTATCCACATGCCTTGGTTTGTAAGTCGCTGTATCAGATGTTGACTTTATTTAACTTTAATATTTGCCCCCAACATGAAAGTTTGTATAGCTTACACTTATAATTTTCTATTACTGAGTTTTCTCATTCATGTTGGGATTAGTCGGTTTGAAAGACTCTTCATCAGCTGTTGGCATTATTTGCCGTCGGATCATAAGACGATTCTTGGGTTCTTTAACTGGAGAACTTCAGTTTCAAAAATAATATTTCGTTTTATTCGCCATCATGAAAGCCTTCCCTGGGCCGATTCAGTGCATTTCTCATTTGCATCCCCTCATTAAATAAGATCCACTGTAATATTGTTCCGTCTATCTCAACGTCTCACAACCCCATGGGCCTTTACGGCCTGTTACAGGGATAGCTTTACTTTACCTACTCTACTTTTATTCGCTTATTGGGGGGTGGAGTCCAACTGGGTCCGCTCGGCACGGCGGCCACTGATTCCGCTATTGTAGCCTGCCCCGGATGATTATGATGATGAAGAATTTGGTGGAATGAAGATTGGTAGGGGAAACCGAAGTACTCGGAGAAAACCAGCCCCAGCGCCACTTTTTCCACCACAAATACCACTTGACAAGACCCGGGATCGAAATCGGGCCGCCACGGTGGGAAGCCAGAGACTAACCGCTTGAGCAATTATTTAGTTACTTAATGTCATTAGTGAAGTTCTTACATACTTTCAGCGAGTGTAGCTTCCTCACTCCGCCTCATTATAACGCATTAAAGCACTACAACAATATGGTTCAGAAAAACGTGATGCTTCTCGCGTTTCCACCTTGTCGTTCTAAGGGTATGCTAAAATACGACAAATTTTTTATAAAGGGCAGACCTACATTGAAGAAGGAGGCAACAAGGTCCTCCTAAACATTGTGTTAGCATCACCAAGTTCATGATTTATTCCAGCCGTCTTACAGTGCATACACTCATCCACCTCACTCTTCACTCCTGCACTATATGTTTCGGCACAAAGGTGCCATCTTCAGGTGCTTTTCGATTTACGTTAAACTACTTCACTGCATGCCTTGCCGTCTTCATACTAAAATAACTAAAATATATGTTCATCATATATATTGAAAAATATTAAATATTAAAAATATTAAAAATATTAAAACTGTTCAGGATTTTTTATCCCTACGTCGCATCTCAATACGCGAGTCACACCTATCCTCCTCCATCGGAGCACTCTTCCTACTTTCGTGTGTGTATTGTGCTTTGTGTTGTGTCTTGCTCCTGTGACTGCGTGTGTTATAGTTTAACGTAAATCGAAAAGCACCTGAAGATGGCACCTTTGTGCCGAAACATGTAGTGCAGGAGTGAAGAGTGAGGTGGATGAGTGTATGCACTGTAAGACGGCTGGAATAAATCATGGACATAAATCAGTGCAACAGGACGCTAAAATATAACATCACCAAGTTACATGGCGTCAAGTTCCAGTTGACAGTAATTTAACATCGCAGCAGGAACGTCAAGCCTAGCACATTTCATCATTTAATTTTCGCGATAGATGGAAGGTGGATGCATGTCAAATTTTTAGTGGGTAATCCAGAAGTTATAAAGCTTTTCTCTATTTCTGGCTCATGAACCACAGTGTTCCGAGTTTCCTATGGGGTGGATGCTTTCCAGCTTTATAAAAATATGCAATCAACAGGTTGTGAATTTATTTCTGGTTCATGAACCTCAGTACTCCGAAATTTCTGTGGAAGTTGTTTCGAAACAAAGTATAAGGACAAACTTTTTTTTAGTCTGAAGTTCTCACGGAGGTTAATATGACGGTTTCAGTCCTCTGGGATGTGGTGGAGTGCAGTTTCATAGATGGGTACAGTACGTGATCTTACAATAAAGTTCGCGAACTCGTCGCGGTAAAAGTACTACGTACCTCATTTCTGAATACCACTGTGGTCTCCTTCAAAGTACTCCTCTTTGGGAGCTATGCACCGATGCCAGCGACTAGTCCACCCTTCAAAACAATTTTGGCACTGGATTTGCTGAATGGCCGTCAGAGCTATCGTCTTATTACTCCTGATCTCCTGATGTCATCAACGTATCAAAATACCTTCCCTTCAAAATGTTCTTTATCTTGGGAACAGAAAAAGTAATTTGGGATAGACCCGGTGAATAGGGAAGGTGTTCCAGCAAAGTTATTTGTTTACTAGCTAAAAACTTCCTCTCATTGTTCTAATTCAGGCTCCCAGATTCTAGCGACGCCACAACAAAACACTCAGACAATAATAGACGCCACTCAGAAAGAGACTATCATTGAAGAACAACAACACATCTATGAAACACTGATCTGCCACGGTTGTCAAATCATACTGAGGTTTCTCTCCACCGCTGACACAGCAAGCACACGGTGGCGAATTCGCGAACTTTATTGTCTGACCTCGTATTCTTAGTAGCCTTCAATTCTTCGTGGTGGTTGATTTACATCCAGTAAAATATAGTTCGTAAAAATTTAAAAGTGAACGGAGAAATTCATAAGAGGTAGGCCTAGGCCCACTGGGGCTGTAGTGCCCAAGGGGGGGGGATTAAAATCTCATATTCATTATTGCCGAAAAACTGTCAAAATAGCTTAAAATATATTAACATCTCACTTTCCATGTAAAACACTAAACTGTCCAAGGTAGACAAATAAGTGAAGAATTTTGTAAGAATATTTGTCTACCCATCCTTCGCAACTGACCACATGACTATGAAAATAGTTTTCTAGTACCTGCAACGTTCATGTCTTCATGATTCGTGTGTCATAGAAGTTACAGAATTTGGGGACAAATGTCGCGTTTTATTCCACAAGCGATCTTTATACATTTAGTCAACAACATTGGAGTTCACTAAATGGCTTCCACTCTGGTGACCGTACTTGGAAGTATGCACTGCCTCTCAAAATAGGTAATAGGTAATAGCACCCCAAGTGTACGTTTCGTCATCCTTGGTATTGTCTAATCAAAGCAGTGTCGATTTAAAATTTTCACGGTACGGTTTGGATCTGTGATTTGGATCGTTTGAGTCAATAATACACTCATACGTCTCGTACGTGTAGCATGTGTGAATGTGAACCAATCCCGTACGAGCATCCTCATGACGTATTGTAATGACGAATTTCCGACCATACTTTCCTTGTTTGGTTCGCGGAATCGTTATTTATCTATGGTTGAAATTGTGTACTGTGCGAATTGTCATTTAGGTAGAATATTGTATTTATCACATTATACATGCAATTGTAATAATATAACAAACACATTGACCATTCGAAGTTTAGAATGGTGACAACGAAGGTACCGCATCCAGATGTCATAGTAACAGATCTTGAATTTGAAATAACTAGAAATCTGATTGCAATGCTTGATAATAATGATTCCTGGAAGTTGGTTGTCGAAGGATTTAATAGACACTACAGCCTATTTAGGTAAGCGCAATTCAAATACAAGCCTTTCAAATTTGTAATGTATGCCACATTATATGATTGATTTGAAAAGTACGTGAAAATAAAACATGATGAAAATGATTACAACCAACATCCATTTGTGGTTACAAAGTTAAAGAGGTATCTGACTTACTGCCAAGTACTGAATTTTAGTAACAGCATTCAGAGTTCCCTAACTTTTCTTAACCTAACGCAAGTAAATTACCAACTTCAAAAAACGTGTTTCTTTGTAATCTGTATGCCAGGGCTGTCATCTATTTTCCTATGTTTCATTCATAGTGTGTATATTGTCTGTACATACGGATTCAAGGGCCCCAGGTTTTCTTCTTTATCTTACCTTTACTGTTGGAATAACTATCAAATAGGCACAACAGATTCCATCCACATCATTATCAAGTTACCATTTGTTGTCATATTTTGTTTCATCTGAAACCATAAGAGAATTATTAAGATTTTTATCAACATGGACGAGAGAGACTGTTGCACCTGTTTTAAGCAGTAATTTATAAAAGTGTGAAAGGTTGATTTCTGTTGCAGTAAAAGTGACATAAGAATATTTCAGAGCAAATCATCACCATCAGAGGTGCTTCTAAACGAGATTGGAAATCGGTGTTGCACAGTTGGAGTTCTTTGTGATATACTGCTGCATTGTCAGCTCTATGATGCATTGTCTTTACTCAGAGAACCTGGTAAGTTTCTCTAATTCACAGGACAATTATACAGGGCAATTTGTTCATGGTTATAACAAATCTAATGTCCCAAACTGATGGTTTTTCTGAGTGATGTTTATTATTTTTTAGTGTTGTTTAGGATTTGAGGCTAGAACTGGTTACAGTGTACATTCACCTAACATGATTAATTTTAAGATAAAAAGTGCCATCACAGTTCACATCCTCATAATCACATATGCTGGCATTCAAGACAGTGTAATTAATGAAAACTAAAATAGCTAATTTTAAGGAAAATAAACTTTTAATTAAAATAATTCATAGTTTTGGTCCCTTGGGTTATGACATAATTTATTGCTATTGCTTATAACCTGTCTAACATGCAGCTTGCTTTTTAAAATTTATCGAAGTTTCAAATGTTAAAATCTCTTTAACACTGGTGTATGCACACTACATGTTTCGAACAACGTTGGTCATGTTACGGTGTTTCTGAAATTGCTGATGAAACTGCTGTGCTTATGTTCGTGAATTTAGTTTTGGGGATGTTCCCCTGTCTGTGCTCCACGAGTCCTATGGTGATGGTAGTTCCTCTTATTTTGTTGTGTGTAGCTATTGTAATTAGGCAGATAGACACACACAATACTGTAATAATCATTGCCACTATGAAATATCAGCTCTATATTAAAGTGACCAAACATAACACTGTCATCAGCAGAGGGGATGGGGTCTGTTTTCACTACTGAGAGGAGGAATTGTGTCGGATCAAAACCTGCTGCGATGTGCTATGTTGACATCCTGGAGCAATGTCTCTGTTGCACAATGAAAATGGTGTGGTTGGAGGATAATATTGTAAACTGCTATATAAATTGTTTTGCAATTTATTTAAATGTTTATTTGTTTCATATTTATAGCAGTACAGCAAGCCCTTTTATGAGGTATGTAATGTCTTTTTGACAAATGAGCGTTTCTCATCTCATTATCCGTGTCACCCTGCTTATGTGTTTTGAATGGCACGTGTATATTTATAGGTTTTAATATTTTAATATTTCATGTTTTGCATATTTTAATACTTTGATGTTAATATTGACAAATAACATGTATGACCTCCCCAGTTGTAAACATTGGCCAGTGTAAGGGAAAATAGCAGGAAAGTAGGCAGTGAGTGTAAATATTTTACTTGATCATGACCATGAAGAGCTGAATGAGTTGAAAAATAGTTATAAAGTTTATCCATGAGTTGTGGTGATGGAACCGATAATAAATTTTGTTATGTGTGTTATGAGATCACCTTGATGTCTGTGACCAGCTAATTTTTTTCATTTTCTTTGCAGTCCTTGTCGTTTGAAGGAGGCTTATGAGATCACTTTGCTGTTGGTGTGTCTGTCATCCCCTCCCCCCCTTTTTTTATTTGTCTGTGCAGTCCATGTCATATTAAAGGAAAGCAGGCAGTTAGTTCTCCCAGAACTTCTTGTTGTAATATTGTATCACGTGTACAATGTAAAATAGTTATTGCATCCATTTAAATATTTAATTTTAAATGAATAATAACAAATGTAATCAATTCCATAGATTGAGCCCTTGAGAAAAGTAACAAATAAACAACTTTTTCTAAGAAAATTATTGAGTAATGTGAACCTGTTTGTAATGGGTATTATTAATAATTTTCATGGAATTTCAATAACAACTGTCTCAATTTATAATCCTGTGGCTTATGAGTTGACAGGAAAGAGGAAACATTGCTGCAGGTCTTAAAATGTGAGGTCCCTGTGTTAAACTGAGCAGGTTGTAGCAGGAGACTCGCACCCAGCTCTAATCTCAGATGTTCTGTTGGCTACATGGCTTAGGTTTTTCATGATTTCTCTCAATCTTACATATGAATGTCTTGAAACAGACCACAAATGCCTCCTTCCTTCCCAGCTTATTTGACTCTCTTTATACTTTACAATTGAAGCAGCATTATTAAATAGCTTATGAAGCAGACCGTCTGTTAAGGGTTTCAACTTATGAATTACCCACAAGAATATTTGTAATTGTGGTCCTGAAAATGTAATTATGGACCTTATTTTCCATCTTTGACTGCCTTCTTAGAAGATCACTACTGTCTTTTAGATAACACAGTTATCTTAGCTGTTTATTTCATGTTTATAGAACGTGTGATTATTACTCAGCAACCATGTGACAGTGAAGACACCAAGTACATTCCAGAAGGTACAGATCTACGACTTGAGTGTCGAGCATTTGGACTTCCCCCTCCCAAATATGTTTGGTTCCAAGGCAATGAGGAACTAAGGGACCAGACATCCAGTGTTCTCTTCATCAGAGATTTCAGGTACAGTGGCAGTTAATATATTGTCATGAATCTCCATGCTTATGTGTTACTTATCTTCCACTTGATTTGTTAGTCCAACTTTCAAATCGGAATTGGTTTTATGCATATTGTATTGAGAGCTGACCAAGTTGAACTCTAAAACTGCAGGTCAGTTCAGCCCTATTCTACTTCCAAACCTAAATAACATTATGTTATTGTTATTAAATGCACATAAATTATAAATTGTTCTGTACACAAGATAGAGAATTTAATGAGATAAGTATATTGTGTTATGCAAATGCAGAATGATCAGAACTCAGTCCTTTGTCTGCTGTGGATGCAGAAATATGTTCTGCACAACTCCGAGGACATAAAATTGTCTCAGGATCATATCTAAATGGGGGGGGGGAAACCTGTGGTATTTATTACTGTAGAATTAGTGTTATTGAAGCAACGCAACCAGGCAAGCTGACACAATGGTAGTGTAGCCTGGTCCACATTTCAGAAGTCTCAGGTTCTTGTCCTTAACATGACTGTAGCTGGCCCCACTGACATGTTTTGCTTTTTCCTGAATTATGGTTATTACATGCTCTCAGGTCTGACGTTGCTTATTTACCAGTGCTTTCTCCAGAGGGACCATATCCGACTTAAGTTGGAAAGTAACACACTGTTACAAAACAAAATATTTCTTTCTCAGAATGGAATTCGAGCACATAGCTTTTAGATGTTCTGTACAAAGTAAAGAGGAATGCTTTATGTGAAGATCATGTCTGTCCACCTGTTTCTGACCTGGTATCAGTGTCTGAGCCACTGGACAGATTTTAGAATTTGACATGGGAGATTTTCACTGAGAATTGTCAGGCAGTTCAGTTTCCACCATTATTGATTTCTAACAAAGTCGGGTTTTTGCATAATGGACTTTCCATTTATACTATACGTAGTTTTTTTCAAGAGATTGAAACTTGATATGGAAAATGTCTACCAAAACTTATTCGATAATTCTGTTTTTCAGTCATATTGATATATAATAAAGTCTAGCTTATAGAAAGCCATGATTTTCTCCATGAATCCCATTATATTATTCCTTTTCTTAAGTAACGTCAGTGTACTAAAAAAATACCAGTAATTATTTTATGTACTGCACAGTTTTCAGTCCTGTTTCTTCTGTTTCTAAATGGTGCAGGTAGCTAGCTCCTGTTTTCAGTTACTTGAAAATGTGTAAATTAGATTGGATTACATTAAAGAGTTGGTCATTAAACAATGCTTGTACTGTGAGCAGCAATTGGGTTGGCTTTGGCAACACACAAGGGGAGAGGGGGAGCAATTTTTGAAAATGGTGTGTAACATTAAATTTATAAGCTCCCAAAGGTGTGGGAGACTGGGACTTGTGCATGGTAGTGTGACAGCTGCTGTGTGGCCATGCACATGAGTAGCTTAAAGGGAACATTGACTGCAACCATGTGTGATCTGTTGTACAGTGTGTAGTGTACTATAAATTTCCTACAGTAAAATATTGCAAATCAGTACTTATTTGTATACATATATTTCCTTCTCAATTTCAACTCATGTATTGTCTTGTCCTACTTCTCTATCACTACATGTTTTGGCTGTATAAAAATTAAATTCAGCTATGTTAGAATTAACCGTTCAGCGTGGTTTGACGTGTATGTTTCGTTAGGTATTTAAATCGTCTGGGGGAGTTCGACGTCTATGTTTCGTCCAGCTGCACACCTATGTTATAACGCCTATAATAATTGATGGTTTTGCTGTAGATTGTTAGATTTTTCGCTGGCCTGTTGTCACAAGTACTATATATAATGAGGCATTTGTTTAGGTGCGCTAAGTCATCGTTACATATGCCTGTCTTGCAGCAAATTTCCTGTTGCTCTTGGGAGAGGTTTAGTCGTTCAATCTGTTATGAATGGCGTGTTTTCTTTCCTATGAAGTTATAAACAGCAGAGACGTGATATGTGCTGTGTTTATAATATCATATTGCCCTGAGCTGGCCACACTAACACACTCAATTGGAATTCTTAGAAGAGGGATGTCCAAATTTTATTCTTGCAAGATTGATTGATTTCGCACAGTACATGGCAGCCAGTTCTTAGAAAAACGCCACAAATTAAGGCAGAACACTGTGGTCACCCCCTGTGACGATACGGGTGTGTGTGGGGGAGGGAAAAGAACTCATTCCTTCATGTATTATCGCTCCAGTTGACTCCATTTTATCATATTGACCTTGGTGGTCGTTTCGAGGGATGACCATAAATATTTTTTTTGAGCCAGCTAAGCTCTGCTTTCGTGCACTACATACCAGCCAGTTCTTAGAATAACTTCATGAATTCTGTGGTCACCCCTACGACATCTACTGCCGCCAAAATGGATGGAATATCAAAGGCATAGCAACAACCCCTTGTTATGATAACTCGTAACGTTGAATTTACTGCAGCTGACCTGACTAGCTAAACTGCTCACGGAAAGACATTTCCTTGAACTATACCCCTCACGGGGAAGAAGGCAAGACCGCACAGAAGCTGTGTGGTTAAAAAAAAAGAGCAAAAGAAAAGATACACAATATTGGAGTGGTGAATGTGGGGCACCGTTGGGTTAGACGAATGCTTCAAGGCCTTCCTTACACTGCTCAAATTCTGAACCACCTGCTTCCTTTGCCGAGATAACGGGTGCTCATATTATTAGGTAAGGTTATAAAAACCACCATTTAAGATCATTTTAGTGAAAGTTTCATGCTTCAAGGCGTACCATTCACTGCTCAAATACTAAACAACCTGCTTCCATTGCCGAGATACAGGGCGCTCATATTATAAGGTAAGGTTATAAAACCACCTTATAAGATCATTTTAGTGAAAGTTTCATGTTCCTATCTCATATAATTTAAGAACAATGATGAATAAATCATTTTCGAGCAAAATTTAAATGGCCGGCTGAATATATTACCGCCGGAGAGACGGCCGCGGAATTTAAATCACCGCGCGAAAGGGTTAAAAATTAAAATTAAAACAGCACAACAGTATCCAATATCAGCAAATGTACTCTCAGATAAATCTATTTCAGTGAAGAGCTGATGACTACAATGTAGAATAACATATAAGAAGTTTTAATTCTAATCTTAATTCTAAATATATTGTGATGTGTTACCTTACGTCCATTGCCATGCAACAGCTACAATGGAAATTGTTGAGTTCCAACAGCGACAAATCGAATATAAACAGACCGTTGTGAAGGAGTGTTCCCGAGGCAACGGATTGCCGAACACATGAGTTTGGAATAGGCACTTACATGGTAACACAAAGAACAGGGAGCCGTTGCGCAGACAATGCAGAAGCAACAAGTGTGTCTCCCCAGAAATGAACTACAGAGAGTTCATTGCGCCCGTTATGTAACAGCGGACAGTAGAAATGAAACCGTGAGGAATGGTGTCTGGTATCCATTCCGCAGAACACCTACATAAGCCAAGACAGACAGAAGACAGCAAGAATACAGTATTGGGAAAGCCGCCTCCAGAGACAGTTGAGATCCATCCACAGCCAAGGATAGTTGAGACGTATGGAGTATTGGGCTAGAAGTCTAGTGACACTGCAAGTGGTGATAATTGTAAGGTGTGTAAGCATGAGAGTCCAATAACGATTCACTAAATCCGAGACCCATGTAAAGTTATTTGTCGTGTGACATACCCAACACGTGACAATATTTTGATTAATAATCAGCAAGTTCACATGTGGTATGTAACTTTTAACATACAGTGTGACAATTTTGGCAAGATAGACATGCACCTGATGATGGTTGTATACAGCCAAAACATGTGTTGATACACACACACGCGCGCGAACCCATGCACAACACACAAATAAATTCAGCAATGCAACAGGATGCTTAAATACAGTATATTGCAGATCAGTAATGTAGTTCCAGAAGTGACTGGGTTGAGAGATAATCCAGCAGTAGAGGTACTGTAAGTGAAAGTGTTAATACTTTATGTAAAACATCTTTTAGGGTATGTTATACCTTCAGTAGGCAGCCTAATGGAAGAAAATTCCTGTGGTCAGTGCAGTCTCTGATATTGCAGGTTTGGTTCCCACCAAAATAGAATCTAATAATTTTGTAATGATAATGTAACAGTCCACATAACTGTCTGGTGATGTTTTGATTGCAGTTTATTTTAAAGGCTATATGACTGCTATTTTGACACAGGAATTTTTACTTATGGCAGTGAATGACTGTGTTAGTGAGTCATTCTTACAGAGAAAAATGGTTCATCTGCACAAAGGGCTGGGCCTTACTGCCATATAAATAATGCCCAACACAGGGCTGCCACAGTGCATATGATACAGCAGTGCCTACAGTTCTGTAATGCAGTAAAGGGAGCCGCACCATAGCTCAAGCAGTTAGTCGCTGGCTTCCCACCGTGGCGGCCTGGGGCTGGTACAATAGGCCAGAAGTCGCTGCAGTACAAGGGACTTAGTCACACCCCACTAGCAATAAAAAAACACAGTAAAGGGGATGCATAATTGTATCTGTAAAAAGTCAAAATAAATCACATCCATCCTGATTTATCATCCATAATTATTCTACCAATTCGCATTGAATCATAAATTAACTTCAGAAGTTGACAGTATGTCATAACTTTATAAAATAAACTAATATTATCAATAATAAGATTTAAAAGTTTCTGGCGATGGTACATTAGTCAAATATTATGTTTCTGGACATTATCCATTGTCCTGTCTTTATCTAGGAACACCGATCTATTTATACAGCTAGTCCGTCTCCAGGGATAGGGACTAGCTCTGTTAATTGGGCCCAACTGAGTAGGTTTTACCTGAAGACGGAGACAGAATCCAGTCTCCAAAACGTTGTATTTTGAAAAATATACAGGACAGCGTTTTTGATAAAGACGGGATGAAGGATTATGTCCAGAAACATAATATTTGTACTATTATTATCAGAACAATTTTTAATTTATTAGTAATAAATTTCTTTCTTTATTGTCCAGTGTACAGCATGAGGGTGAATACTACTGCTGTGTAACTCAAGACATTGATGACAGGGAACTCTGCCAGGTGTATTCCCACAGGGTTAATGTTGAGCTACTGCCATTACCTCCCACCATACATGAGCAGCCTGTGCCCTGTGTCTTGTTTAAAGAAGGTGATGTCGTTACACTCTCGTGCATTGCTACTGGGCATCCAGAACCTCAGTATGAGTGGTTCAAAGAGAATTTTAGACTTCCTGGAGAAGAAAGTAACACATTAAGTGTAAGGCTGATTTTTTAAAGGGCACACATAATTACTTTAACTCATCATACTGAAATTTTAAGCGAGCCTGGTTCCACGTACTGTCAATCCATACTTGACTATTGTATCTTGGCTGTAACAGATTTCAGTTATAGCTAGCATTTTATTTATCCTCATTCAGAGATGGCGCAGAATTGGATTCATTCTTCTGTAAATCATTGACTCCTCTATGTGATTTGAGTATTTTGTTGTTTTTCTTTTACAGTGGATCCCCTTCCATTTAATGTTCCTCAATTTAAGTTTACCATCATTTAATGTTCAATGTAATCAGTCCAATGTCAGTATTTTCAGAATTAAATTAACTGCATTTAAGATTTTTCTCAGTTTAGTCTTCAAATCCACTGCTCTGAAGAAAAGAAACTATAAATAGGGTTTCACAGTACTTGTGTTAGGTTAGGGGCTCGCCATAGCTCAAGTTGTTAGTTGCTAGCTTCCCACCGCGGCGGCCCGGGTTCGATCCCGGGTCTGGTCAAGTGGGATTTGTGGTGGACAAGTGGTGCTGGGGCAGGTTTTTTCTGAGTACTTCAGTTTCCTGTGCCAATCTTCATTCCACCAACTACTCCACAATCATCACCCTCACCTATCATCTGGGGCTGGTACAATAGGCCAGAAGTGGCCGCAGTACAAGGGACTTAGTCCTATCCCACTAGCATTAAAAAAAAATTGAAAAATTAGCTTAGGTTCATAGGTTACCTATTTTAGTGTGTATGTAATTTTATGTTAAAACAAGTTTGGAGAGACCTCTGAAATGATAGGCAGGTTCTGTTTTGTAATATCGTTAAGAGCTCTCAATAAGCATAATACTGGAATGGATAATGGTAATATAATTTTTTGTTAACATTATTGTTTTATAAATTTCTTTGTAAAGTGAATGTATTGGTATTCCTATAATTTGATGGCTCTTTGTTTAATATGAGGTATGAGTATGATGTTAACAATGGGTAAAATATTGTGACATGAAGCCTAAAAGCCGGAATATGAAGTCAGAATAGACTTCCATTGCTAGGCAACGTCTTGGTAATCATATTCCCACAGAATAAGCGGCATGGGAATCAGAATCTGGCTGAAGGGTGCTGCAGAAAGCTGAAGAAACAGACCAAGGACCATGGTAGGTCCCAAAAGAAATTGGCTGCTGCCTGCAGAGGAATGACCTGCCATGCAGGAATGGCATGGTGCAAGGGACACTGCAGGCAAAATGTTGCTCAAGTACCCAGAAAAAGGTGAAAGCATGAGAAAATATACTGGGAAAACTAGAAGGAACAGAGACTTCAAGGAGCTACTGCATCTGGAAGTGAGAGGACACCCTGCGAGATCTACAGGAAGGTGTCATTCTAGAGATGATGAAGTGAATAGCCAAATCTTCTGTCAGAATACAGAAGATGAGTGTCAGGACATTGTGGAGTGCTGGCCATTCTAGGTAGCTTTGCCCCCACTGACTGTTAAAAGCAGGATGATAGTGAAAGCACTGGACTAGCACCTCATCAGGGAGCTGCTTGGGACAAGCAGCCTTAAGGAGCAAGCAACAGGAGCAGTTGGAAAGTAAACACTACGAAAAACCAAGAAACAGGAAAGAAGGTGAGCCGAGTCATAGGTGTTGCAAGCACAGCCCTCATAAAAGGAGAAATGGCAGTACACCTGTAGGCCGTTTGGGACCAGTAACCTTAAGGAGACAGCAATGTGACATGAAGCCCAAAAGCCAGAATAGTGAAGTTGGAATAGACGTTCAGTGTTAGGCAACAACTTGGCAGACACATTCCCATGGCAACGAATACACAAGCAACAATCAAGTAACTTACACTGCTATGTAATGGAGCTGTAAACATGCTTTGCCAACAATAGAGAGGGTGTGTTTTCTTTGTGGTCTGTGCAAAGTGGTTATAAAGAAGAATTCAGTTGAGAGGAATGGAGTGGAGTTTTGAGACGCCAGAATGCACCTTGATTTATATTATTTTGAAATATGATAGTCTTTACTCATTTGTGTTCTGCACATTGTATTGGACTCCCTGATATTATTCAGTTGGATGAGTATACAGCCATTTAATATGAAACAGTTACCAGTTCAGATCTCGCTTATTTCATATTATCCTCACATGTGCATGATATTATGTTCACTGTTCGTGTATATGCCCCTGTGATTTCAGATTACTGGTGTTACAGCAAGCAGTGAAGGCAGTTACAGATGTTATGTACACAACATAGCTGGTGCTGTCTGGTCAAATCAATCAAATATATCAATGGCAAGTACATTTTCTCTAACACCTGTTAAATCTTGATCAGAGCAGAAAATTTTGAATAAAGTAACCAAGGGAAAAGAGTGTTGAAAGCTCTGCTTTTTCATGTGCCAGAGATCATCAGTTGGACACCAGCTTTTTTCAGTGCATCAGAATAAATATCAAGATAATATCTTTGGATAGTCCATGACTGGTCGTCTGCTATCCCCCCTAAATAGCTCTCATAACCGTGTTATTTCTCATTTGACGCTACATATAAGGAATTGAAGCCGGTTCCTTAAATATAAAAGGATAATGCTTGCCGTTTTCATGTTATGTGCAGTTGGTATCCTGCCACAGAACTACCACTGTTTGGCTACTAACCATTTAGTGGCATTTCTACTGATAATTGCTTTAAAGAGATTACATGAACAGAACCGCACTGAAAATCACTGATATCACAGTGATATCAGGAATAAAGAGGAAGACAAAAGGAATGACCAAACGAGTAAACTGTATTCAGATTTGTAGTGAAGTTAAAGCAAATGAAAGGTCCCACCCCCCATGATGCTAATGATACATAAACCTACTTAAATCTACCATTGACAGTTATACATATTGGGAGTGACATATGGATATGAGATTTGGTACTTAGAATGTTAGAAGTATGTATAGGGCAAGTTCACTCAGCGCAATGGCAGAAGAAATCTCAAAATTTAGGTTAGATTTAGTGGGAGTACAGGAGGTCAGATGGGGCGGAAGTGGCACTGAATCAGCAGGCATCAGTGTAAAAATTTTTAGAGATTTTAAAATTGTTAAATTACAATAACTGATTCTATTCTTCTAGATAAAAGCAGCGTTTATTTCGTTCGTTTATGACAAAAATTGTAGAAATCACAGCATTTTGAGTAACATGATTACAATTTTTATTAGTCTACAATGACGGGCATTTAAATTAAATCCGTCCCTGCTGCCACTACCGGAATTTAAATGGCCGTCTCTTAAAGGTTAATGTGGTTCGTGTTGTATCAAAGAAAATTACACAATAGGTTCTTCCCAGAACTTCTTGTTTAATAATTGTAGCTATCCAGCTACCCCCGAGATGGAGTCAGATGAACATTATGTTGAAATAATAAAGAAGTAGATAATAACATAGAGAAAGAATGGAAACCTCGCAAAAGGTACTCAGACAGGCAGCAAAAGGAAGTTTAGGTGTAGAAAAAAAAATGGTTTAAAAAAAGGATTAAGTAAATGGAATGAAAATGTAGCTCACATTATAAGTGATAAAGGAAGATTAAAGAAATGTACAGGAATTTCAGCATCTGAAATTGAATGTTAAAAGTGCAGAGCCATAATAAAGAGAGAAGTGTATCAAAATGGATGAAAGATGTGGAATAATTTGTATCAAAAAAACTTGAAAATAATGTAACAAAAACAAAAATGTATAAACTTATTAGAATATTGAATGGTGACATAGTAGAACATCTTAAAATAAAGCTTATAAACAAGGAATCATGGCTGAACTACTTTTAGCATCTGCAAGATAAACAACTGCAAATGTTCAGTGGCAGTCTAGCAGTGAGTACATGGAGACAGTGGTTCAAGAAGAATTAGATATTGTTTTAAATTTAAAAAATAGTGAAGCTCCTGAAGAATATGGACTGAATTCATGCCTTATTAAATAGCTGGTAAATTATGAGTACTTCCCAAAAAAAATCTGCATTTCCTGAATACTGTCTGATATGGGATATAGCATTAGAGCATATATAGAAGTATGAAAGTTCCATCTACACAGCTACAATTATGAAAGAACTACAAATTCCACAAATAACAGACTTTATACAACAATATAGATGAAATTGGCAAGAACACTCCAACAGGGTGGGCTGTTAACAGTATTCAAGAAATGGTCTTCAAATATGGGTCAAAGGGAAATAGAAGTTTGGGAAGACCTCTGAAGTGATGGAAGGATTTTCTTTTGTAATACCAGGTTGCAGTCTGCCTAATACCAGAAGGAATATTGTTGTATGTTTGTGTGTATTTTAGCAAGTAGTTACAAGCAGAAAAGAGACATAGTTTTAGTGGAAGGTGTGTATGAGTCAGTATTACAGCATTCTCCCCCCCCCCAAAACTAATCCTCTACGTAGTAGTAGTGGCTTGTGCATATCATTATTCTGTCAAATTTAGCATTGTAGTCCAAACATAGTCTGCAGTGCTAAACAAAAGAAGTACAGTCACAATGTGGAAACATTATTCTTAGCCATTGTGTGTGTATGTGTTCTTTTTTCATCTCTATTTCATACGGTACATAATTATATAATTATAACCATGGTGCCTAAGCCTGAAGTTATAAATAACATCTCATTGGTATAAAGATTTTTGGTCAGGTTATGCCCTTCATCATGACTTTTTGCTTGAGCATTACATACCAAACATGAAAGAATTGGCCTCATTGAAAATTAGCATAATCAATCAGGTTTGGCTCCCCCTCCACCTCAAAAAAGGGAAAAGTTTTTGTTCTTAATTTCGCCCTAAACCCTGGGCAAGAGGTCTGGTCACTGATTACACATTCAGCCGGCATGTATTGAGATTTTTATGGACAGATCCATTTTGTTTGCACAGATGATGTCACTGTAAGAAGACTACTGCAAAAGTAGGCAATTTAAAAATGTGTAAAACTTTATATAGATTTTTAGTTAATGAAATATGTAACTTGGTTTCCAGATACTCTCTAACCCATGTGATGAAGAGTCTCGGCCCAGAATTATAGGTAACATTATTATAAGATGTTATTAATGCATGAACATTATTTATATATGTATTCTGTACTGAAACGTGATTTAAAATTTATTATTTATTTCAGCAACAGAAAAGGTGGCACTTCTTATTGGTAATGATACATACACAGACTTGAGTGACCTCAACACACCAAGCAATGACGTGGCTACAATTGCTTCTATTCTGAAGGACATTGGATTTAAAGTGATTGCTCTTCGTAACCTGACACTCGGTGAGATGAGAAATGCTGTTCGGGAGTTTTGTCAGCTGTTACCACAAGATGGATATGGTGAGATATATTACTTAACATTTTCTTTCTGCCTAGCTGCAGCGTAGATTGGTTATGAGTTGCTTTTGCTTTACTGTGCTGAAGTAGCCGTGTTTGTATCCTTTGGCAGAGAGCCAGTAAAACTCATTGTGTTTCAAGAAATTTGATGTAGTTCATTTGTAATCTGTAGTTAAAGCCATGTCTTGAACTTACATATATTTTCTTGTTGAAGTTCTGTTCTCATGGTTGAATAGTAAACACATGTCAGTACTTCAAAACAGAGACTGCAAGGGACATATAGAATATACTCTTTGTGACTGATGAAACATGTATGTGTTTAGAGCATGTCTGCCCATGTTGAAGGTGCAAGTATTAACCCCTTTGCCTTCAGCTTTATCCATATTTGTCACTATTTTAGTGTGACTATCTGCTGGGTTTAGATTGGTAATTGGATTTAATAAACGCTTACAGAACGTAGCCACAAATAAGTATGATAGTCGCACTGAGTTACACACTCCAAAGATTACTGTAATTACAGCACACATAAACTCTTCTCAGTATGCTGTCTTCACCAGTTGTTACCTGATGACGGATCCCAACAGTGTCCTCTGCTTCTGTGCGTACGTTCTTACGGGCTGGCAACAGTCTCACAACTAACTCATTGCTCCAATTGTCAACTCTCAACTCTCTTGACTCTCACTAACTATCCTGCTTATAACATCTCGACATGAACCACACAGAAAACACCACTCCTCAGTTGCTGTTTGCAGTTGTTGCATACATGCTTATTTGTGAAGCCTTTGCTCAGTAACAGCTGTTGTATAGCTGCTTCTTTCACAGTCGTTGCCTAGCAATGGATCTACATGTCACAATCTGCAAGCAGATCACCATTCTCATCCTTCATTAAGTTACTTCTAGGTTGGTAACCCCTCTTAAAGTCATTTATTCCTCTATACAGGTCTCTAATGTTATTGTTCTTACTCTTCATTGCAAGCTCATAATTTTATCTTTCAGATATTCCTTTTTGTATTAAATGTAACCACCATGAGGAATAAGAATGGTTTCCAGACATTGAAATGCAGATTTTTCTTCCAACGCATCCTGGTATCTGAACAGTATTCCAATGTTTTATCACTGTTTGGTGCAGGTATTATCGCACTGTCCCTAACCACTCACTGCACCGAACTTTTCTTCCCTCTTTTCTCTTGTCACTGAACTGAACTGAAATCTGACTAACTGCTGGATTGCTCTGACAGAAGCTGTGAAGAGCTTGTTTCGATATTTTGGTCAGGCAATAGGCACATGCAGGCCAGACCGTGCTGCCTCCCCCCATGATCAGCTCCTACATAAACATTAGTTAAACATTTAGAAAGTAATACTTAAAATTTGTCATACATTGCTTGTATATGTGGACTGCAGGAAGTCACCAACAGTTTCAGGATACACAAATCCCTAGATGCATTGGTGCATGAGTATTTTCTTCTTTATTATTTAAACTGTTAAGTATTTTGACTTCTGCAGTCATTCATACCAGTTACACGGGGTTTATACAGTACATTATAATATGGTATGTTATGATACATTTTTAGCATTAATTATCCATTGAAACGATTATATATATGCAAAAATATATTGTATTTAAGCATTGTTGGACTTACATGGTTTTCACCTTACACAGAAACCTGTGGGTAATTAATTGGGTAATTGGGTAATTAACTGTACATTCAGTTGAATAATTGAAATATTTTGACTTTTGCTGGGTGCATTTTTGGAACCATAAAATTAGCTAACACCATCTTGACCAGCAAACATTTCACAACTATCAAAGTATGCCAGTCAATAATATATGTAAATCAGTACAACATAAGAATACATATCTTGGATTGTGGTCTTATGGCTATGACATCATGCAGTCTCATACATGTTACCTACATTTTGGAGGAACCTGCTATAGTCATATCGAGGGCAGAAAGATGCAGCAGGGTGCTCAAAAGCTTGTGACTGCTGTGAGTCTGTATGGTGTCACTGCAGAGGAAATGCATAGTCTAAATTCTCACACTGTGAGAACCTCATATCTGATATGGGTGCTTGATGGTGTTTTATAAATCAGAATGAGCTCTGTAAATCCTGCTGTTAAAAGTTAAATGGTTGATTACAAGGTATTACTAAAATGAAAATGGAATTGATTGATTTCAGCAGTCACCTTCAGCAATTTTATATCCACACCTACATTGTCGAATTTCATGATTGTTATAATAGCAATATTTTAACTGGTTTGTTACTTAACATTTTCCTGTAAGGAGATTTAAATGTGATACTGTAAAGAATATTAAGAGCTTGCTTGATTTTTAAATCTAGAGCAGTTTTTTTAATTTTATATTCATAGTAATTTTGCAAATTATTGAATGTAAAAAAGGAAACAATCCTTTTTTTTTTATGAATCACTGATGTGTAATGTTTTATCTCAGTTACATTCGTAGTTACCTGAAGCATGTGTTCCATTATGTTCTTTTTTTGTTTTCTTTTAGGATTTTTCTACTTTGTAGGACATGGTTTTGAGATCCAGGACAAATTTATGTTACCAGTGGATGCACCAGGAGCTAGTAAATACCGCCGCTGTAATAGTCTGTGTGAGAAAGAGGTGATTCGAGATGTATTGGAAGTAAAGCCAAGATTATTTTTCATTTTGCTAGATATGTGTCTCAAAGTACCGGACAGGTCAGAATAAGATCTTGCTTCATCAGAAAATAAGCTGTCTTGTTATTTTTCATGATTTTGCTTAGTCTCTCTAGAAAAATGCTGATGTGATGTGTTAAGATGAGCCATGGCCCAACTAGTTCACTATTCTGATAATCTTTTCCTTAAGCAGATGACACATAATGTCATTAAATAAGTAACACCTGCTGATCATTACAGTGTAGTGTTTATCACTTTGACATTTTATTCAGGAGGTCCCAGGTTCAAAATTTGCCTAAGATCAGCTATCTTCATTGGGATTTTTCATGATTTTGTTCTCTTCCTGCCGAAAAATGCTGTATTGTTGCCTTAAGATAGGCCACTTTCTTCCATTTTGTGATCTGTTATTCACAACCATCCTGCTGATTGATACTATATAATCTACTTATACGATAATTTTTGTGAAATAATGAAGGAATTAATTTGACAATACACATCTGTCAAAGATTATAATCTATGTATGATACTTAAGCGATATGAATGACTAATGAAATCCAGGAGGGTTAAGTGCAGTTTTCAGTGTAGACTGTATTATAATTTGTCACTGAGCCCAAACAGTTACACATGAAGACTGATTTGTGTGATTTAATATTACGTGGTTTCTGACCTTGCCCATTGTTCACTATTCCAAATAGGCCTCATTGTTCCAGAAACTGGATCTGTTTCCATCCTTAGGTGAAATGATGGGAGGCCACCTGTGCAGTTAGTTCCAATAGAAAAAGCTGATCTCAGTGACTGGACTGCACACTGTTCATTTTGGAATACCAGATGATTAACAAAGTCCAGAAACTCAGTAATAATAATTGTAATGTCACATTTATTCACATAGTTTATGCACTTTTTTACCCAGAAAGTTTTGTCTGAAGTTGTAGTGCATACGTAAAATATGAAAGTACTACTTTTCAGAATACTTGTATAATTTTATTCATTAGATTAAGGCAATAGCATTGAATGTATTGTGCTCTCACAGTATGAATATTTGAATAGAGGGACTCAGGAGTGTGATTCCTTGAAGAATATTCAGTTGAAAATGCCCCTTGATAAAATTTCAAGCAATGCATAATTTTTGCAGAAAATACAATTGAAGCTTAATGCAGTATGAAAACAAAGTATGGGTATTCATGTCTTCACATTTCACCATGTGATTCCTTGATGAACACTGAGATGTAAATTCCCCATGGATGAAATTTTATGACATAATTTTCATGAAAAGAAAACTCAATGAAAGTTGAATGCATTGTGGCAGTGTGCTGTAAATAATTGTTCCTAGGGACTGCACCACATGATTCCTTGATGAACACTGAGACAAAAGTTTCCCTTCATAAATTTGGACCAACACATAATTGTTGCAGAAAATGCAATTAAAGTTGCGTGTGTTGTGGCAACACAGTATGGATATTTTTTGCCTGTGGACTCTGTGACACAGTGCCTTAATGAACAGTTTAGATGGAAATGTTTCTTCATAAAACTTTCTCTGATGCATAATTTTCCCAGAAAACAAAGTTGATTGTGATGTGGCAACAAAGTATGGGTATTTGCACCTACGGACTCCATTATGTGATTCTTTGACTAACATTGAGACGGAAATGTCATTTGATAAAATTCTTATTAATTCACAGTTTTTGTAGAAAATGTGATTAAAATTCCCCATACCAGAACATGTGTAACTTCAATCACAGTTTCTGCAAAAGTTGCATGTGGATCAAAATTTTATAAAGGGTAAAAGTACAGTACTTTTTTATACACAATATAATTTGGATAGACTTGAAAGGATTCTGACATTGGTGTATACTGTACTTCTTTTGGCTTGTTTTGGGCTTCATCCATCGTCTGGTATGTATCACTGGTCCAGTGATTGAGACTAGCTGTTTCTAACGGGCCCAACTGAGTAGGTTTATCCTTTCCCACCCACCTGAAGACGGAGACAGATCCAGTCTCCGAAATGTCGCGGTTTTTTGTCTTTTACATACCAGACGATGGATGAAGTCCAAAACAAGCCAAAAGAAGTACAATATAATTTCATCAATAATGCAACTATTTCTATCACTCCTTCCCTTCACAACATGTTTCAGCTTCAAACAGCCATCACCAGGTGTCTCAGCTATGCCAGAACTGTTCCATTATACAGAATGTCCACTTTTTTACATCAAATAATTGCGGTGTTTCATGATTTAAAATATTGGATGTTATAATTGATACTTAGTTAACATTAGTTAATATACCATATGCTGCAATTTAATTTAAATTGACTTAATTAAAAATTTTCTATTAAAATTTTGTAAAATTCTTTTTTTCATCTGTACTAGGGGCACCATCCACTTGTCCAACAATATAGTTCAGTATCCCTGTCTTTGGATTTTTATACTGTGAGGGCCTGTGTGTTTGTGTGTTGTTTTCTGTACGCAAACCCGTTGTTGTGGTTCTATTTTTCCCCTTGCTTGTATGTCATCTCTCCATTTGTGTATGGTGTTGTGTTCCCTTGTGTGCAGATTTGGAATTATATTGTGTATAAAAAATACATTAATACAGCAGGATGCTTAAATATTGTAATATGTTCTGCCACTGAAGATGCCGTTCGGATTGTTAATTGGTTTATTTAACAACCTACCAGTCTCGGCTACAATTAATTATAATAATGTTACGGGTTTCCACACTTTACAAACCTTACACACAAATCTCTTCACACTGTCCTCAGTAGAGTACACATATTCACAGTACGGGAGCTATACAAGTCTCTTTGTATTACTCCCAATTACACACGCGTCCGGTTCTTCTTTCCGTGACTGCTGCTATACTCCAACTGTCTTCGTCGACGGCTACATTTCGACTTGCTTTGTAGGCTGCTACACCGAGAACTGTCTTCGGCGGTTGTGTAGTTCCCTTATAAACCCTCAGCTGGACAATGGGAAACACCTCGCTTCCTTGTTGCCTAGTTGCCGTGTTTGCCGATAGCCTAGCAACGCTGTTGGGAGTTGTTTATGGCTACGTAGCAAGTCCGGCGTCCCATGTTACGTAACGGGTACCGCTGTTTACTCGGTTTGCATAGCGACCAGCGTGCTTGGACTCAGCTCACTTCGGCTCTGCTCAGCACATCACCGCTGGCGGCGGGGGGGGGGNCCGCCGGCCTCCTGAGCACCTCCCCGCTGGGGGGGGGGGGGGGGGGGTGTTTACCTGCCTATTACCGTAGCGCAACACATCGCAATATGATAGTACGGTACTTTTTTTTTCATCTCCCAGAATTCCTGATCTCAAAGTAAAGTAAGATAATGGTAGATTTATCCCTGGACTTAACTGATTAAACATGATTCTGTGAAGATATATGGGGAAGTGGAGGTATAACTCCACCATTCTTAAACTTGGCACTAGATGGACATGAACAGTTAGCTTCATACCCCTGCCACTTTACTTCTGGGGAAACGGCACCTGGTATCTACTGTGTAGGAGGCTGGAAGGGATCCAGATTTGGTTTGGATATTATAGGGAAGAGAATGGTGGAGTTATACGTCCACTTCCCCATATATCTTCACAGAATCATGTTTAATCAGTTAAGGTATCAGCGAAGGTATACGTTATACATGTAAATACATACCACTGTCAGAAACTTAAGATTCATGGATAAGATATGTGGGAAGTTCAAGAGAAAGTGTTTTCACTGATAACCTATTGTAATGTGTTACAGGAATGATAACCCAGGCATCCATGAGGAACTGCCAGATGTATTCTTGTATACTGCACAGAGGAACCTGATTCAGCAATATGCTACAACAAGTAACTTGGGTGCATATGAGAGACCTACTGAAGTCAATGGCATATATGTTAATCACTTGAAGAAACATTTGGCAAAAGATATTCCCATTCTTAATATGCTAAAAATGGTTCAAAAAGGTATGTAATCTTAAGCTTGCCATTAATTTCTGTCCTCTTTTATAATGTTGAGCTTATGCGCTCTTTGCAGAAAATGCACAGCGGCATATCATGTCTCTTTATCTGTCTCGTACATTATAATTTGTAATTCTGTCACTCATGGAGCTGAGCCCTTCTTGAGAAGCTGCCAATTGTGCAGCTTCTCAAGAACTTCCCAGCATTGTATGGAACCTGAAGGTTCAAGTACCATGTCGTTAAGAGCCCTCCAGTTGCCCCTATCCTGAGCCAGATCGATACAGTCCATACCATTCCATCTCTCTAAGATCCATTTTAATATTGCCCACCCACCTACATCCTGGTCTTCCTAGTGGTCTCTTTTGTTGTTTTCCCACCAGTATCTTATAGGCATTCTTCTTCTCCTCCATTCACACTACATGCTCTTCCCATCATCCTCCTTCACTTGATCATTCTAATTATGCTTGGAGAAGAGTACAAGTTATGAAGCTCCAAATTTTCTACACCCTCAGTTAATGTCATATATATTAATATAATAATAAATATTTATAATTATATATAATTTATTACTTAACATTTGCCATGCCTGATGCAGTAGAAACTGCCTACTCTTTTAAAGCAGGCTGTATAAAGGTATTTCAATTAACTAGGATAATAACGATTGAAAAATTGAATGATAAATCTCTTCATTTTTATATAAACTATATTCTCTCATCAGGTCATGACATTTTAGTCATTGTATAGGTTTAGTCTGTCAGGGAAAGTCATTTTTATCGTATCTTCATCCCTTATCCTTCCTTCCTTTGCCCCTCTCATGCCTTTGTCCCTTTCACTCCTTTCTCTCAGATTCCTTTACCATCCATTTTATATGCCTCTCCTGTCGTCACTTGCCTCCACCTTCCTTCTTCACCTTTACATTTAAACAGTGTGAGTGAATATAACTCTAAGGTTTTTTGTAATTATAGGAAATAGATCACTTTGCATCTCATTTTCATGGAAACAGCATGAAAATGACAGAACAACAAGCTCACAAATATTCTCCTGCGTAGACTGATTGTACTCATGTAAGAACACCATGATGCAATGAACTCAAGGGACAATCTTGTTTTTCAGAAATTGCAAATGAATCAGCTGATGCAGTAGATAAACAGGTTCCACTTACAAGTTTAACTGTTGTTAATGATTTCTATTTGACAGATCCTGTGACAGGTATGTTGCCAAATATACCATAGTTTTAAGTCATATTTGGTGGTATTTAGAGTGTATAGATTTAATGTGTATTGCACATTAGGCATTTGTGGTTTGAATACATGAATATTTGGTCACGTGTGCCTCTTTTTTGTGTTTTCTTTTTCTTTATTTTACCGTAATATAGGCACCTGTATTCATCTAATTGGCACATAATTAGTTTTGTGAACCCAGCTCCTACTTGAATCAGAAGAAATTGTCAGACAGCCAGATAAAACATACACAGAAGAAGTTTCCCCACCAACATATCAAAGATCTCAATTATATATTGCCCAAAGAAAGATGAAAAAGGTAGCCATTAGCCCACTGAGTGGCAAAAAGTGCTACAGAGCTCCATGGAACCTGCCTGAAGTGCCAGGAGTGTTCTAGTGCTCCTTGTGCAGTCTCTCAGTTAAGTGCTTGTCAATCACAGACTTTTACCAGGTGGCCGGTTTGATGATTATGAGAAAAGCATGTAGTTTTAAAATCTAAACCCAGACATTCTATGGTTTGTTTCATTCACGCACTGTGATATTATGACTTCTGTAGTTTGTGAATGTGACAAGTAAAATGTGTAGCATGTGATAGTTATATGTAAAGCATTTTTTCCCCCCTACTTCAGATGTACCATGTACAGGATATCATTTGTGTGTGTGTGCGTGTGCATGCGCGAGAGCATATACGTGCACATGTGGGGAGGGCTAAACAGCATTACAAAGTGTAAAAAAAAATAACATCAGCTAATGAATAAATTGAAATCATACGTGGTGTGTTCAAAAAGTATCGAACCGTTGGTCGGCAGAAATACATTTATTGATTTGGAGGTACAAAACCCTAATCCCCTTCAAAGTAGTCTCCTTGGTAATGCACACACTTCTCCCAGCGCTTCCGCCATTGTTGGAAATACTTCTGGAATGAGTCTTTTGGAATGGTGATCAGTCGGGCCGTCTCATTCCGCATGATGTCTTCTCTTGACTCAAATCAGGTTCGTTTCAGCGGCATTTTCAGCTTGGGAAATAGCCAAAAGTCACACGGAGCCATGTTGGGGAAGTAGGGAGCCTGATGAACCACAGGGATGTTGTGTTTGGTGGCGAAAGTCAGATGCGCAGAATGGTCGGGTGCATTATCATGATGGAGCTGCCAAGTTTTTGCTGCCCACAGATCCGGTCGTTTGCACCGCACAGCATCACGAAGGTGACAAAGGACCTTCTGGTAGTATTCCTTTGTGATGGTTTGGCCTTGTGGTGCATACTCATGATGCACAACCCCACAGGAGTCGAAGAAAACGGCCAACACGACCTTGACAGTGCTGCAGACCTGCCGTGCTTTTTTTGGCCTCGGGGATGTCAGATGTTTCCACTGTGAAGACTGCATCTTGGTTTCCGGGTCGTACCCATAAACCCACAACTCATTGCCTGTGATCACGGAGTTCAGAAAGTTGGGGTTACTGTTTGCATTGTCCAGCATGTCCTGTGCGATTTCCAGACGGTGTTGCTTCTGCTCCATTGTCAGCAGTTTTGGTACGAATTTCGCAGACACTCGNTACTCATGATGCACAACCCCACAGGAGTCGAAGAAAACGGCCAACACGACCTTGACAGTGCTGCAGACCTGCCGTGCTTTTTTTGGCCTCGGGGATGTCAGATGTTTCCACTGTGAAGACTGCATCTTGGTTTCCGGGTCGTACCCATAAACCCACAACTCATTGCCTGTGATCACGGAGTTCAGAAAGTTGGGGTTACTGTTTGCATTGTCCAGCATGTCCTGTGCGATTTCCAGACGGTGTTGCTTCTGCTCCATTGTCAGCAGTTTTGGTACGAATTTCGCGGACACTCCTCATGCCCAAATCCTCGGTCAAAATTGAATGTACTGATCCAGTGCTTACCACTATCTCATTTGCAAGTTCTCAGACTGTGATACGACGGTCCTCCATGACCAAAGTCCACACTTGCTCAGTGACATTCTCATTTCGGCTTGTTGAGGGTCTGCCTGAACATGGTTCGCTGTCCACTGATGTGCGGCCATCTTTGAAGCGGTTGTACCACTCCTTTATGCGTGAGTTGCTCATGGCATCATCCCTGAAAGCCTGTTGAATCTTGCGAATGGTTTCCACTTGGGTATCGCCAAGCTTTTGGCAACATTTGATGCAGTATCGCTGCTCATGTTGTTCCGTCATTTTACACCTTACTGTAATCCAACAAGCACTCACTACATGTACTCACTCATAGGCCGACTGCCAGCAACTGACACTTTCTGTGTGCAGGAAAAAATTCACGACTGCACATGAATGTCCCCTCCACATCTCAACTGAAGGGAGCCTCCCGCACTTCATTGGTTTACGTGGGAAGAAAGAAGGTTCAATACTTTTTGAATACACCACGTATTTTCATTTTCAGATTTGAATTTTGATTTTTACAGATGTCAACCACAAAATTTTCTTTCAGCACTAATAATAGAGCTATATATTCTTATTATTTGGTGAAAATTTGAAAAAAGTAACTTATAAAGTGAGGGAGATAAAAAAATTGTTGACTGATTTAAGTTCTGAAAATATCCACAGGCTCAGGGTAATGGCTTGGGACAAAAGCTTAAGGAACTAAGAGAAGACATTACATTAAGAGTAAAGCCATAGATGTTACATTCATGGCAGTATATAAATAACAAGATAATATATATGGTTTTGTAATCTTCTGACGCCCCACAGTCAAGTAGGTGGTTACCAGGGTTCTGGAGAAACCTGCTGTCTTAAAACATTGATAACCACTGAGAACTTTCACTACATAATGTCAAACCCAGAAGACACAGTTCAAATGCCTTCCACTGTGACCACAATCTAAGCCCATTCCAGGGTGGGAAAAGTAAAGTGCTTCAGTCAGAGGTATTTATGATAGAACTAAGAAACTGTTACAATCAAATAGGACCTGTATGAGACTTGTAATAGGCTTATTGGCAGAACACTTTCACTTAAAGGTACAGCTATTCAAACTGGTGCTAAGGGCTAATCCTGTTTGTAGTAGATGTCTGAACGAGGAGGAAAAACTGACTCTTGTATACAGAATGTCCAGAAAGTCATTCCTGGGTTTTAGGTAGCTGTATTTGCCTAACAATTGTACCTACTAAAAACTGATTCAGAGACATTGCACACACTGTCTCATATATGATTGACTGTAAATACATTACTTTGGAAACTAAATCAATTGTTTCTTGGTGGATCATTGTTGGGTTCTGAATTCTGAACAACAATGAAACCTACTTTACTGGTAAAGTCAGTTTCAAGAAAACTGACATTTTGTTTTTGGCCCCCTAATACACATGGCCATTAATTTCCTGAAGATAATGTTACATGCACACCCATTGCTAGGCAGCGGGTTGGTAAACACTCTGTTGCTAGGTTATGCAACAGTAGATGAATCATTGCCTTCTGTATGGTCTGCGCCACGCCCAACACTGGTAACAGACCAGTGAACTTACTGTCTGACATATGACACATTTTCTGTGGGGTCCATGCCAAAGAATTATAAGATGTTCCAGAATAAGCGAGAAGGCAGGAGATCTGAAGGCTCCCAGAGCCGTCAGACAGTAAAATATGGTCATGAGTCCCATGGGACTTGGAACCAAGAAAAATTTGTGCTGAGGACCAGTGGCAATTTAGCAGTCGAGAAGGCAGTCAACAAGAGTTTTAGTTGAGTTCCAAGGTTCCAGGGGGATGGAACAAGAAATGGCAAGAAGACTTCATAGTTATTGGAAGTGCCTGTTTCTGTGTTGAGATTTGTTGCCAGGAGATGTAGTGAAGACAGAGAATCCTAGTGCATGTGCAATGGTGAACTGGAAAGTGTACAAATCAGCGATAGCACTGTATTAAATGTGATTGAGAGTACTTGTTACTGAAGTGCCAATAAATCCAATCATCTGAACTAGAGCCCGTTATTTTCGTCACGTAATCCCATACACATGACAATACCATCCTTGCAGTTTTATTTAGGGTCTTTATAAATTACTGAAATTTATTCAAAACTGTTGCAGCTTTTTTTGACAAAATCACCATTTTGTGCCAGGGCCAATCTGAAGGGCCCCTGTTTTTAGAGATGGAGTGTTCATATTAATTACATACCAAATTTCAGTTAAACTCATCCAAGTGTTCAGAGTCTAGTGATTTGCACATCCATAAATATATAGAGACATATGGACAGATGTCTTTCTGTAATCAGGGGTGCTGAAAATGTGTGTCAGAATTTCAAGATTGATTTCTCACATTCACCATACTTTCTCATATGTATGTGAAAAATTAAGAAACAAAAGGCAAAAATGAAGGGTAACTCAAGATGTTTCAATCAGTAAATTTCCACTCATGCTTGTTTTATGGCACATCAGTTGTCCAACCAATTAAGCTTTGGTTTCCTTGGGTAGCGGTAACGTAATCAAGCGGCCATAATATGACGGTGAATGACGTCACTAAAACATTGCCATGGAAACAAAGGAACACCAACGCTTTCTAGGAAACCATGTTCCTTTGTTTCCATGGCAATGTTTTAGTGATGTCATTCACTGTCATATTACAGCCGCTTGATTACGTTACCGCTACCCGAGGAAACCCAAGCTTTACTGACTTCAGTATACACACAATTCAGATCTCTGAAGTTTCTCTTTCAGCAGCTCTAGTAATCTGCTGTTGAGTTCAACATAAGTCAGTCACCCATATGCAGCACTTCTGATGTAACCCCACAAGAATAATTTGTGACCATCAAATCTGGTGATTTCAAAGAAAATAAACTTTCAGAATCATCCTTCATTCCAGTGTTTTATTTTCAACAGTTTATATAATGGTTAAGAAGAAGAAGAAGTTCTGAACACCGCAGAGTGACTTGTGGACTTTTTGTACTGTGTACTTGTGAGGCCTTTGTAGGATCAAACATATCAGGAGCTTATTTCATGAACACAAATTACTTTCACAAGACCCTGTACATAAACTTATGCACTTTGTATTCCGTGGAGAATTTCTCAAGATTAAATGGGGAAACACACTAACTTATAACTGGTCACGGTGCAAAGGTCCCTTATATTCACCCTTCTTGTTCTATTCAGAATAAAAACAGGCATATTTAGTGGTAACTTGTACTAAACACTTCTGAATTTCGGTTTAATGTGATTTAGTATTGCATCTTTGCTCACAGCAGAGAATGATAGTGGACTGTGTGTGGAATGTGGGCCATAGATTGTCATACAATTTATGTCTCCACATTAGATATTCTAGACAAATAATAATTCTTTATTCTGTGTAAGCAAATGTTTACATATCCGGTATTTGAATAGAGAAATTGTTGTTATTGTTTGTATCCAAAGTACACTCTACACTTCACAGGACACCCTGAAACTGAAGCAAGATTCCAGAAACTCATGGCTTTACCAGCATTAGATACTATTGTGTTCGATAATATAGGATGGAAGTCATTTGTGAAAATTCAGCCACATAGGAACTGCTTCCATAACAGTCTTGATATCTACATTACAAATATGGCAAGATGGGCAGTGGTATGTCGCATGGCTTGTGAGGTAAGACTGGCAGTCTTACTGTGAGATTATTATATTTATGGTGCAGGATCACACGCACTTAAATGTTTGCTACAAGAACCGCTTTTTAGTGGTCAGTTACCATATTTGCTTGAATATAAGGTACAGTTTATTTTCTTTTATGTTGTGACAACAGTAAAATATTTTCAGAAATGTTTAATACTCAATTACTTTGAAAATAAGATGCACATTTTTCCCATTTGTTCACATTGGAAACTGAGGTGCGTCTTAAATGTGAGGAATTATTCACCAATTTGCAAATTTTCCACAGGGTAGCCTGGAAAGAACCTAACGTAAACACATTCAGAGTGAGTCATCAAGTCACATCAACCCTCCCCACCTTTAACTATGAGTCAATCCCAAACTTTCAGTTCAGTCATTGCCTGACATTCTTATCATGCAGGTGTGTTCAGTTTTCTGTCAGTTTTTGCCCATGGAAAGAATTTTGCATATGATACCACATTCAAATGAAAAGTTATTCTGGACACTGCACCTGGTAGAAAGTATGCAGTAAGTGAGGCATGTGTACATCATTGGCAAAGTATAAAAACAAAACTGCTTTCATGTCTGACAAATAGGAAGCCTTTTTCTGGACCAAGGAAAGGGAGAAATCCTGAGATTGATGCCATGTTTTAGAGTACTTCAGAGATTTACAAAATAAAGAATAACCTATAACTGGGAAAGCCTTAATGTCAACAATAATATACATTTTAAGGCCAGTCGTGGATGGTGCAAAAAGTTTGTGAAGAGATAGAGCTTATTATTACAATGAAGGGTGAAAGTTAATCAAAAACTTCGTTCAGAATTTGAGACTAGATTGAATTTCAGCATTTTGTTATTGGACTGTGCCAAAGGAATAAGTATTCTTTAAGTCAAATTAGCAATGCACATGAAACTGCAGTTTTTTTCAACATGTCTCACAATTATGCTGTGGATTTCAAGGGGGAAAAACAAGTGGCATGTTACTGTTATGCAGTATATAACTGAAAATGGCAATAAATTACCACCATACATAATATTAAACATAAAAGCAGTGCCAAAAGAAAATTTTTGCAAAGATGTAATAGTTTGAACCTAAAAAAATGTATGAATGATATGGGGGTTAATGGAAGACTGGCTTCGATGTGTGTGGGAACATTGGCCTGATGTGTTATCAGAGCCACAGAGTATGCTTGCAGTGGATGCATTTCGTGGCCATTTCTCCGATAGGATCAGAAATAGGTTAAGGAAAAGAAACACTTATCAAGTGATAATTCCTAGTGACATGACAAGTCAGTCACAACCATTTGATGTGTCAGTTAACAAACCATTTAAAAATCTTGTCCATAAACAGTGTGATGCCTGGCTGAATAAAGAAAATCATATATTGGCAAATAAAGAGCATGAGCATCAATAATAGTGGAGTGGATATCAAAAGCTTGGAAATAAGTGCCAGACAACATTATTCCAGAAGCGTTTTTAAAGTGATTTTTATGTAATGCGGAAGATGGAACACAAAATGACATGCTTTGGGATGACAGTGAAAGTTGTAAGGGTTCATCATCTTTAGAAATGCAACTGAAGGATCATTGGACGAACTTTCTGATTAAATAAAAAAAGATAGAAAGGAGTGTGCATGTAGTGAAAATTTTAAATTTCCATTTCATTCTGCTCTATTTTCCATTACTTTTCACTTTAAATGTGTTAAAAATATTTTGTTATTTTAATTGATGTATTCTAAATAAACTCACTGAAATAAATACTCCTTTCTAATTTCATCCTGAAACATCATTTCAAAATTGAATGCATCTTAAATGCAAGGGTGTCTTATATTCAAAGTAATATGATATATTTATGGTTATTTAATAGCGGCCTCCGTAGTCTAAAGGTAACGTTCCCACCTCATGACTCGTGGTACGCGGGTTCAAATACCCGGCGGAGGTCGTCAAATTTTTAAGGGCAGAAAAATTCAGGGAACAAGTCCTCCGAGAGGGACTTTAAGCTGTGTGTCCCGTGTCGTAACTTTACGGCACGTAAAATAACCTCATATCCCCAAAGGGGATCACTGAGCCAAATTCCAGGACGTTTCCCGCCCAACAATAGTCTCTAAGGCCTCTGATAGATGGGGGAAGCATTATAGACACCGCTAAGCAAGTGACTGAACTCACTTACTCGGTGGGACTGATGGTACGCACCATTTATCGGTAGGGTAAAGAGACTGGTAGAATATCATAGAGGGAAGCACAATAGATCAAACTGGTCACGGTGCATGGGGAAACCCACCTTCTCTAAATAACTAACTAATTAACTATGGTTATTTACTCTAGAAGTATGAATTGTTCAGGATAATTTGTAAGTCAGATTTTTAGGAATAAATGTTTCCATGCCATGTAGTTCAATTGAGTTTCAGATGACCATACTATCTCCTTGTATAAGGTTGAAGAGTACGCCAAGAAAGAAGCAGGCAGTGCAAAATTCAGTCAGATTTAGACAAGTACAGTATTTGTAGATGCTGCATACTTTCATTTACAGTAATTAATTTCCAGTCATGAGGAAAATAAAATGTTACTGCATTTAAACTCACTGTAGCAGATCATTTTTAAAGTTTGAAGATATATTAACAAAATGACATGTAATGTATTGTACTTGTTCCATGCCCTGCTTCCTGGGATATATGTAATCTGTACATACAATTCACAATATTCATCCATCTGTCCATCATTCTCTGTATCTCGAAACCTAGTAATGATAGTGGATAAGTGTAATTACAAACGTTCATTTTGGGAAAGGAAAAGTGGGAACAGTTGCAAATTTTGTTGTTACATGCATGAGTTTGAGTCCAGGTTAATCTTTCCCACATAATAAAAGCATTGCAACTCCAATGACAGTGACTGCTGTTATAATCATGGAGCAGTAAATTACATGTTACTATAATTTAATACCACAGAACAGTGTTATCATGCAGGACACAATTGTGTTGCTTAATGTCACCATGTGTGAACTTCTGAACTTGATTTCGTTCATGAAGATGAAAAAAAAAATGTAATCAGTGACTGTGGATTAATGCAGGAATGACATAGAGGACTCAAAGACATAAGTTTTCTTTTTCACCAAGGAAACCAGAGGAAGAAGGCCTTCTGTATCTAATGAATTATACATAACTGGTATCGCAGAATACATAAACCATGTATTTTCATAGTAATCATGGTAACAAAATAGTATTGTTTATTAGAGAGTTATCTTTAGTAATTACAGTGCAGTTTTTTCTGCATGTGTACTCTATAATGTGTCTGTAGTAAACTGAATTTCTCACATGCATAGTTTCACAATACAGACTATGAATCTGTCTGCATTCAGCACTAATACATGTCAGTGATTTTATCTGCCTGGCTGGTAATCATTACTTTTCCTTTTTACTTTGACCTGAACTGGTGTAAAGTAGTTAACTTAAAACCTTATTTTGCCTTTCAGAAATTGCAGTTAAAGCTTAATAGAGAAGATGATAATTTGATAATAACTATTCACAACCTTCAGAAGACAAAGGTAAATTTCATCAACTTATGGATTTTGCTATGTAGTCAGCTGCATGTGTGAATCTAATTCTTTGGCTCTAAGTACACAAGTGTTTTCATGGGACTTAAAGGCACTATGTCTTGGTTGTGGGAGATAATTATCACTTGTGCATGCATGAAAAGGCATGTGAAGATATACAAGAGAAGCTGGAAGTACCTGCTGCGTATATGTGCCTCTCATTTGATCAATGCATAGAGACTATCTCCCCTTCTAGATAGTCCCAGCAACTGCTGAAGATTGCAGTAGCAGCAGGCACAAGAACATTCTTCAAGTGTGACATGTATAAAAGTGCTTGCAAGGCCCCATGAAAAAGCAGCCTTAGTTGATTTCAGTAGACAGTTTAGTACAGAATCAGTGAATTAGTGCAGTCTGCCTGGTAAGTTAGCTAGAATAGAAGCCAGCTGTCAGTTCAGTGCAGTGATGAGTGAAGATGAAAGATGACTCGGCAGTGATGTTACAGTCAAGTAATGAGTGGACAAAGACTAACAAGAGCATAAGTTGCTAGGGATTGTAGGGTAATAACTGTTCCAAATATCGATAAACATTACAATATAAATAAATTTATAGTGGGAGGATCTTACTGAGGAGGATAACTTTCACATCTTGGGTTTCATGTTTTCTCTCCCATAGTGGTAACGATGTGTTTTCTGTTTACACTTCATTGTTTTTTTTTAAGTTCTCTGTAAATCAGGCATCAAGAAAATCCTAACATATTGACTACCACAGAGGACACTGATATGTCTGCCATACCTTGTCACCACAGCAGTCACTGGTGTCTCCTGCAGACCCTTGACTTCACTTCCACAGAGGATACCAGTGTCTACCCTCTGTTGCTTGAATATTTTCAAGCCACTATCACTGGTTCCATGCAAGCTATAAGAGTGTCTGATATGGCTTCTTGGCACTGTAGTATGCATCAGTGTCTGCAACAATTCAGAATGGTGTAAAAAGAGCAGCAAACAAAAAAAAATGGTAGTCACTGTGTTAAGTGATAAAAGACTAGAACTGGATGTGTAGATTATGTTTTTACTGTTAATTTATGAGGTCAAAACATAACGGTATAAACGATTATACTGAAACTATTATAAGTCAGTAAGGAAACATGGCTTGATTAGGGGAAACAAAAAATGAATACAGACCAGCCATGATATGCCATGAGGAGTTTACGTTGAAAGACAAAAATTGGCAGTAACTGAACAATTAAGAATTTCCTATAAAAGCAAATGAAATTGTATCCAGGATTACAATATCTTCATTACAAAGAACAGTTTATAGTTTCAATAACTGATCAACACCTTATTCATATAGCCTTATTTCCTCTCTTTCAGTTACCAATAGTGTTATCTGTGACTCTAAAGCATCCTGAAACAGCAAAGGAGATTGGTAGTTATACTTTTGACTTGGCACAGCCACTTATAACTCAAGCACACCTCTGGTTTAACTGCAGTCGACTCATCAACGCATAACACACTACAGATATGTGAGAAATGGGTAAGTCAGCCTCTTTGAAAGAGGATTACCACAGAATTCTCTCTGGAAAGGATGAGAAGAACCACAAAAAAATGGTGTACTGATAAGCAGCAATGCCTGTGATTCATATCATCAGTCTCTTGAATAAAAACTGTGTGATCTACCATTAAGCTATATCCTTATATGACAGTGATTCAGCAAAACTGCAGTATAATAAATATAGTTTACAACAAGGACTTCATTACGGTATCTAAGACCACTGGAATCATCAACTTCTTAATGTTATACATATGGAAAACCATCACATAAAATGATGGCATCTTTCTGGCACATTTGTCATAACTGTGATTCCTAACTAGCTGTCACTGTTTTCGCACCAACTGTACTTACAGTGTGCTTTGTAAATTCTTTATGGACAGCAACATGTAAAGGTCTTGTTAACCCATCCTCTTTGTCCTACCCTTGTCTAGCAGAAAGTCTGCATTCTAGAATATGTGAATAACTCTCCCCCTCCAGGTTTTAAGACCTGAAAAACATTCGTCACTTAACTCTTTGACTGGCGCGGGCGTGTTTTAACGCCCGGACGATGCCAGCCGTTCCCTGGCGTTGGCGTGTTTTAACGCTTTGACAATCTCGTCCCTTCTTTGCTCTCTTGGCACTCATCAACCAAAGACATATATATGATAGTTTTTGTGCATGTTTGTAAAGAACCCTTGTAAACTTTGTGGGGGTCTGTATTACTGTCAGAACCCTCTGAGAAGGTAAAGGTCAGAAAATATTTCACATTCATTCAGTTTCACCATAGCTTCTTGCAGCAAGTGTCTTCGTGTTCCTACAGACCAGCTGGAAAATGTTGTGAACGAGATTTTTTCTGATGATGATAGTGGCGATGAAATAATGATTCCTGAATTGGATGAAGTTGATAGTGACAATAATACAGTGATAG